CAGGTGATATTTCAGAATACCCAGAGTAAATATATTCCTACTATTGAAAAAACGTAGAGGGAAGGAACTGCCATCTGTGGTTACCTAATGAAGTTAGGGAAAACATCAAACTGAAGGAAAAAAACAAATAACTGCAAAGATGAGTGGCAGGTCAGATGATTGGATAGACTATGAAGAACAGCAGAGAATTATTCAAAGATTAATCAGGAGGAAGAACTTAGAGTATGAGAGGAAGCTAGTTAGGAATATATAAATGCTTAGCAAAAGTTTCAACAGGTAGTTAAAAAAGGAAGCAACTAAATAAAGTGGTCAATGTTTCGGGTCTGGTGACTCTTCAGTAGAACCCTAAGGAAGGGTCACCGGACCCGAAATGTTAACTCTGATTTTTTTCTTCACAGATGCTGCCAGACCTGCTGAGCTTCTCCAGCAACTTCTGTTTTTGTTCCTGATTTACAGCATCTGCAGTTCTTTCGGTTTTTTAATAAAGTGGTTGAAAGTCCTCTAAAGTGTGAGAATGGTGGGGCGTTGCGAATAGTAGATAATAAAGAAATGGTGGATAAAATGAACTAATATTTTGCCTGTGTCTTCATTATAGAGAAATGCAAAAAGCATTCTAGTAACAGAAGTAAGTCAGGGGGTGGAAGGGAGAGAGGAACTGGGCGAAATTGTAATCTCAAGAGAAGTGGTCTTAAGCAAACTAATGGAGCTGCAGACTGACAAATCTTCAGGTCCAGCTGGATTTCATATTTTTAAAAGCGTTTGCTACTGAGGTAGTAGTTGGTGTTAATTTTCTGAACCTCCCTCAATTCTAGAAAAGTTCCCTTGGGCTGGAAAATAACAACTATAAACCCTCTATTCAGGAAAGGAGGGGTCAGAAAACGGCAGTAACAACAACAACTGCAGTATGCAGTTACCTTGATGTCTGTCACAGGGGATGGTGTTAATATCGATTGTTAAAGAAATCAAAAATGTTGCACTTAAAACAGCTCAGGATAATTGGAAAACGTCAGTATGGTTTTGTGAAAGGGAAATCATGTTTTAACAATTTATTCAAGTTCCCTGAAGGAGTAATATGCACTGCAATAAAGGGGAGCTGGTTGACAAACTATACCTGGATTTCTAGGAGGTGTTTGATAAGACACAACATTGAAGCTTATCGTGGAAAGTAAAAGCTTACGATCACATATTGCAATTGAAAGAAGCCTGGCTGGCAGAAAACAAAGATTACACATAAAAATACATCTTTGTCTGATTGGTGGGATGTAATGAGTGGAGTCCCTGGTCTGTGCTGGAGCCTCAACTTTTTACAATTGACAAGAATGATTTAGATGAGGGGAGCAAAGGTGGTGTAGCTAAATTCACAGACTACACCAAGACAGATAGGTAAGTATGTTGTGAGGAAGACATAATGAAGTTGCAGACACATATTTAGATTGGTTGAGTGAGTTTGGCAAAAAATCTGGCGTATGGATGGTGGGAAAATCTGAAGTTGTCAGGAAGCATTTAAAAAAAAGCAGAGGGATTTAGGTGTTCTGGTGCATGTGTCACAGAAAGTTACTATGCAGAAAGTTAAAGGGGATGCTATCCTTTATACAAGAGGAATAGAATATAGAATTAGGGATGCCATGCTTCAGTTACATAAGGCATTGGTGAAACCACATCTTGAATAATGCAATTATGGTGTCCATTTTTGAAGAAATGCGTTATGCTTTGGAGGTAGTTCAGGGGAGGTTTGCTAAATGAGGAGTTTGCACTATGAGGTCAGGTTGGAGAGGTGAGCGTTGTTTCTACTGGAGATTAGAAGGGTGAGGGATAACTCAGTTAAAGTTATAAGATCTTGAATGGTTTTGCTAAGATGGATAGTGGAAAGGATATTTACTGTTATGGGTCAATCCAGGACTAGCACAGAGATGAGATTTTTTTTTCCTCTGAGAAGGTTGTGTGACTTTGGAACTCTGTCTCTGCAGACTGTATCATTGAATGTTTTTTAAAGACAGATGGATAAGATTTTTGTTAGCCAGGGCAATCAAGAGTTGTTGTGGGTAGATGAGAATATGGAATTGGAAATTCTGCTCCTTATTTGTATTTTTTATATGTTTTACAAATGTCCACCTTTACTTCTTGAGGAAACTCTTCTGGTAATAAAAGGTAGAATTGCACGAATGTTTTAAAATCGCTTTCTAACCCTGACTTGAATGTCTTATGATCATATATCCCCGATGCCTCAAATCTTCCACAACATCAAATCAACTTCCGTTCAGAGAGTGATGACTAGTTATTCAATGGGTAGCGATAAATCATATGGTATGGATGATAGTGCAGTAAATATATCCATTAGAAGCTCATTTAGTATGGCCTTGTATGATGCTTGGTGTGATAAAGCCATTAGAACACTTCTTTTCTTGCACCATATTGGTTTGTTTTTCATCTCTCTCTGTGCACACTAATGCATTGTCTGACTGACCAGGTGATATCCCTGTGGTACACCTCGAGTTCTTTAGCTGGCTGAGAGGTGGCAGTGGAGTGGCTCTTTTATTTTCTTTATTTTGAAGTAATTTCCTTCCCTCTGAGGAACTTGCTGGCTAACATTCCTCATTTTTCCTCTTGACAACCATGAAATGATCAATGAAGAATTATGTTCTTGAGTGACCACATTCTCCCGTTCTATGGCAATTCCTTGGACTGACTAATTTTTCTGCATTCACTAAAGTTAAAGAAGAAATATGCTTAATTTCTGCTTTGTGAATATTGGCTTATTATATTTAGTAAATTAACTTATTTGAAGTTGTGTTATGCTTTCCTTTTTCCTCATATAAAGTATTATTTATTGTGTTCAAGGAAACCTACTTATTTTTCTCCACAGATATTGGCTAACATGTTTATTTTCTATATAGTTTCTGTGTCCATTACATGTTGATTCACTTAAAAAGTAATGCCTATTCTTTGTCTTGATATGGTGTATATGCCTTATTGTAGCCTCAATGTCAATTTAGGGAGTGCAAAGGAGATGTACTGGATTAATCCTTCGAATGGTGGGACTGTCTTATGAGGAGACTGGGTCTGGATTCTCTAGAGTTTTGAGGAATGGGAGATGACTTCATTGAAGCTTACAAAGTTCTTAAAGGGAGAAATGGCTTAGTTTTAGATAAGACGTTTGCCCTGACTGGTGAGTCTAAAACCAGGGGACATAATCTAGGGATAAGAGGCACTTTATCTCGCTAAAAGGGAGAACTATAAAACATTCCTCCCTTCCTCAGCCCTCATACCTGGCACAATCCATGTCACCCTCCCACACATTCTCTATTCCCATCTGTGCCAACCCTAACCTCGTGCTCTGTATCTCATGCTCTGTTATACCCCTATAACAAATTAGTGCCTTTTCTCACACATCACCATTTCCCATTTCACTTACATGCTAACTCATTGGGTATGCACAAATATGCACAGAAAAATGTAGTTCTGTTTTATAAAAGTTATATATACATGCTGCAGTTGTTATGAATGATAGTGCTTTTCTCAGCAAATGCATCTTGATACGTGTTGACACGCCTCAACACTTGCTGACAATTCTAGATCAGTCTTGACAAAGTGGACAATTCCAATGCGACTATTGGATACAAGCCCATGCACAGTTAACAGTCCCAAAGAGTACGCCACCAAAAGGATATCTGATTTGTGCCCTCCCACCCCCGCATGGGCGCTCACACACAAACACACACGCAGACAGACAGACAGACACACACACACACCAAAAAGGATCACTAATGCTTGCGCCCAGGACCTGGGACCTTGCCTTCAGAGGTACCTCAACTCACCAGAGGGAGTCCCCAACTATCCAGAAGAAATGTACAAAAAACAGATCTGTTTTTGCCTGGTCTACTTTGCACACTCCAGCTTGTGGAGTAGACAGGGTCTGCAAAATCCGATCACAGTGGAGACAGTTGTTAATTTGAGAGTTTGGCTGCCGATGGGAACCATGCATGCGTGAATGAAAGACCACTTCCAAACGTCCCCCTGAGAAAATAAGAACCACTAGGTGCTGGAGCAAGATTTCTGATGACTTCTAGCAAAGTTGCTGTAATAGAGATGGTGAAAATTGGATGGTAATTATAATATATTGGAGGTGGTCTTGCTTGAATTTATGCCAGTGTGCACTGACAGAGTTATTCCACAATTTTGGCATTAGTGTGCTCAAAATGTTAGTGTGGAAAAGTTGTAGCATTATGCCAATGCAAAATCAGTGTCTGATTTTTGTGCCTGCAGGATCCTTTAAATTGGACATTTCATAGTGGCTTTTAAAATAATTTTAAAGTAAGTTTTAAAGTCAGGCTTCTCTTTCCCATGTCATTGATTAGGCTGCCTTGATCTAGTTCATTTGTTCCAATTTTCTGAATGTGCTGTTCACTTTGTCCCATGTTCCTTTTATGTTTCCACATTATTAATATTTGTAAAATAAAATAAATCAATTTTTAAAAGAATCTATTCAGATTCTATTTACTCCACTTTGTTCTGATCAGATTTCTTTCATCTTTCTGCTCTGTGTCTTTGATTTCCTTCAGCAGCTCAAACAATTGCAGATGTGCGAGCTGAGTTCAAGGCATGTGGGGTATAACTTGATATTGGTATTAATTCCCCCTGTTTGCTTGTAATTTTGTCTCTCTATGGAACTGTCTGAAGTTTAAAAACAATGTTTGTGGTGGCAGATGATTATCCACAATCAATCCAGCGACGTTTGAGAATGGTCAGGTATATATGCTTCCTTAAAGAAAGGAAGAATAATTACTGAATGATTAAAAGCCATACAAGTTCTTACGTGTAATTACAGTACAGGATTATACATTTCAGTTACAATTATTCCCTTCGGTGAGTGTTAAAGCTTATTTATTACAAAAATGAACATTACAAGCAATTAGAAAGCATCATTCAACACCAAATGCATGTTTTCTTGGTCTGACTATGTAGAGGTATACATTAACTGGTTCTTTCCTCAATCTTTGCAGATCCCTTGTTTATGTGGCAGTGCACCATGCCTTCTCTGTGGATGCTGCCCAAGTGGGAAGAATTCAACAGTGACTCGTTTGATCTTTGCATTCTTTCTGCTGCTTGGGGTTGGAGTGGCTTGTATTATGTTAATGCCAGGAATGGAAGAGCAGCTCAAGAAGGTTGAGTATCTGTTAGCAGTATGCTCCACTTGTTTGTGTAACCTGACCTACAAGTGCAAGGCATAACGTGCATTTTTATATATTAGATGTAGGGAATTTAGAAGAAATTTCTTCACCCAGAGACGGGTGAGAATGTGGAACTTGCTACAAAGAATAGTTGAGATAAATTGTATCAGTGCATTTAAGGTATACATTGAGGAAGAAGAAAATAGGGACTTATACTGATAGGATGGCAGGATATTTGACTGGATATAAGCACAAGATACCATCCTAATCCCTGATCTGGTTATCTCCATTAGACTTTCTTATATTCCTAATAATAGTGAATGGCCTACATGCATTGTTAGTGTTCTTGTTGCACATTGTTCTAAGGCAGGAAGTGATCCCAGCAAGTCTACAACATAATCAGCATGGATTCTCTGAGAGTGCATTTCAGCATTCTCCTCTCTCTGTCGCTTTTGCACGCTTTTGAGAGTGGTTAAAAATAACTTTATGTTGATCTGGGAATGCCATCTCTGTCCTGAATGGGTAAGGTCTTCAAGTTTCAGACCTATAAATTGTCTTCTTAGACCTCACTGTCCTGTTTTCTCCAACAACAAGTCTGAGGAGGTCATGGAAGTTTTACAGTCACTTCCTGCATTAGTTCCTGTGCTTAGTCTCTCTCCTATCTCCTCCCATCATGTCTCCTCTGTTCATTTTGTCCATGATCCAATACCCACAAAACTACTGATCAACAAAATTCCCTTCTTATCTCCTCCCATGCTAGCTAACGTGGTTACTGATTCTCTGTCCACAGGTTTTGTCCCTCCTTCAAATCTTCAAATTCAAATTAGGGGATGTGGTGAAGTAGTGGTAATGTCACTTGATTAGTATTTCAGAACCCAAGGCTAATATTTTGGGGAGAAGGGGTCAAATCCCACCATGGCACATAGCGAAATTTGAATTCACTAAAAAGCTAGCCAAATGGCAACAATATAACCATTGTCAATTGTCATAAAAATCTATTGGAATTACAATGTGTCCTTGAGGGAAGGAAATCTACCATCCTGACCTGTCTGGCCTATATATAAACTTTTGAGGTCATCCAAATCTGTCTGTCTACGTCCTAAGTCGCATCAAGTTCTGTCGGCTATATGCCTTGTGCTGACAGTTAAGTAATCCCACAAACGACCAAGATATTTTCACTGTAATGCCAGTCTGTGAAATATTCTCATCTTTAATGAGTATGCCATTGGTTAGGTATTCAGTTACCTAAACTGGAAGCTCTAAAATTCCCACCATTAACCTCTTTACTCACCCACAAGCTTTAACCCACTCCTTTAAAATACGTGTCTTCAGCCAAGCTTTTGACTCTCTGTCTACTATTTCCTGATATAGCTTAGTGTCATATTGTTTTATAATGCTTTGGAGAAGTACCTTGGTACAGTCATTATGTTACAGATGCTGTAAAAGTACAAATTTCAGTTGTTCAACCGTGCAGCTATTAAGTGGGACATAAGACATGCATGAATTCATGACTTCCACTTCAGATGCTGCTGTAGCAGTGAAATGGATGATTCTCATCGATTGGGTGTTGTGGTAACAGTGACCAATGCTGTGTAGAAACAGAATTGAGATTTGAGTGAGGAGTTATAATGGAAGCGCATTGAGCAGCACAGTGGTTAGCACTGCTGCCTCATAGCGCCAGGGATCTGGCTTTGATTCCACTATCAGGTAACTGTCTGTGCGGAGTTTGCAAATTCTCCCCTCATCTGTGTGGTTTTCCTCTGGGTGCTCCAGTTTCCTCCTACGGTCGAAAGATGTGTAGGTTAGATGGATTAACCATGGGACAATGCAGGGTTACAGGGATGGGGTGGGGAGTGAGTCTGGGTGGGGTGCTGTTTGGAGGGCCAGTGTGTACTCGATAGGCCAAATAGCCTGCTTCCACATTGTAGGGATTCTATGAATGATACGGGATTGCTTGCTCATTCTTGGAAAACCGAAGTGACTATTTTCGTTTGTTTTGTTCTAGTTCAGCATCTTGCACAATCTTACACTTGATTGAAGAGAGGGTTTGCCTAGAGAATTTTGTTTAAAATAATTGTCCAAGGGATATTGGCATTGCTGGCATTTATTGCCAATCCCTGATTGCCCAGATGGCAGTTCAGGGTCAATCACATCACTGTGGTTGGAAATCGGACCAGATCAGGTAAGAATGGCAGTTTTCCTTCCGTACAGGATGTTATTGAAGCAGATTGATTTTTACCAATTAACTTGCTTTGTGTTTGAGATTTTCATTGAATTCAAATTTCACCACCTACTATGATAGAATTGGAATCCTTGTCACCAGAACATTAGCAGGGATTATGAGTCCAGTGATGTGACTACTGTGCTACTGTCCCCATTAATTAAGTGTCAAATGTCTTAAAACAATTCCATTTTATTCAAAGTGTAACCCCTTGCACGACCTCCTAGATCACTTTTCAGGGTAGCCAAGATTATCTTCACAGGTCTGCAGAACTATTTCCACACAAAAAATTTGATTTCAGTTATGCTTTGTACTAAAATGTACTTTTTACAAAAAAGTCACCTACATACGTGTGAATAAAGTAAGCTCAAGCATGTTTAATTTTTGCCTCCTCTTCCCTACGTAGATACCAGGATTTTGCGACGGTGGCATAGATACATCCATTCCTGGAGCCCATGGACAAGTGAACTGTGACGTGCTGGTTGGATACAAGGCTGTTTACCGAGTTTGCTTTGGCATGGCAATGTTCTTCCTTCTCTTTTCCCTGTTGATGATTAAAGTGAAAAGCAGTCAGGACCCAAGGGCTGCAGTCCACAATGGGTAATTTGTAAAATTCCTATTTTAGAAAGGGGCTTTGCAGACTCTAAGCTAGTGCCTACTTCAGTGACTTGGTCACTAGCAGTTTAATTTCATGCAACAATTGCGTAATTAGCTATAAACTGTTTAGTTGGCTCATTAGTCGTGTGTGGGGAGATAATGTTATTTCGGTTCTGTCTGTATATTTGCTCTTAAGCCAAAGTGTTATTGTAATTTTTTAAATTTGGTATGAACTACCTGAGTTGCTCTCCTACATCATGGCAGCAGAAAAAAAAATAATCATCTGCTTCCAAGCTGTGCCCAATGCCACTGTACTTCAGCTGCAAGTAGTTTAGTAAATGGTAACTCTAAACATCATTAGCATTGGAAATATGGTGGAAGCTTAATTTATAATCAAGTTAGATTGAATAATGGAGATTTATTGTGTTAATCTATCAATGTGCAAGCTTCCTATCCTACAATGTATGCCTTGGTCCTCATCTTTTCTTTATACTCCCCAACTCTCCATCTTTCTTTCCTTAAAACCCTGATGTTTGACTGTTTTTGGTCACCCCACTCAATTTTATTAGATTTGGTGGCCATTTTTCCTTTGCACCTAAATGAAAGATTCCGCAACATATTCCACATTAAAGGCAATGTATAATCATCTCACATGGCAATATAACATTATCTTTTAAATACCTCCTTTACATTTTGAAATACCTAAGATTCTTTGGTTTTTTTTTTATTATAACTGAAACCACTGACAGTACTGATCAGTCTTTTGGCTCTTCTCTGGGTTTCCTCTCATTATTTTAATATCTCCCTTTGTTTCTTGGAAACCAGAAGTCAAGGGGTAATCTGACCAGAGGAGTTGATGCAAGACTCAATAAGCTACTGCTTTGTCTGAGACACTTTTTTTCTTTTGACAATTTGCCTTTGATATTGGTTAAAGAAGGTCTAAATGCATTTGTAGCTTCCTTTTGACATTGGAGAAGTCCTAAGGATTACTCCAACTACCCAAGAATGAAAGTCCACCAAAGACTTAGCTGGTTTACATAGGGCACAATGGGTAGAGCGTCAGAACTATGATCTCTCCAGTAATTGGCTATATGTCTTCTAAAATTTATAGAATGGCAAGTCTTGACAATTGTCAAACTGGGTAAATAGCAGAATTAATCATTAAAAATAGCAGCAATAATTAAAGATCAGGATGCACTGTTAACTCCTGAATCAAATGTCTTCCTGTCCTAAATTGCAATTATTATTGTCATGCTTTTGTTACAAAATGTATTTGAATATTTTAACAAAATATTCATTCAGGCGGTCCCCATGTTGTAAATGAGTTCTATTCTTGAGTCCGTTCACAAGTCAATTTGTATATAGGAGATTGCAAGAACCGCAGATGCTAGAGTCGGAGTCAGAGTCAACACAGTGTGGAGCTGGAGGAACACAGCAGGCTAGGCAGCATCAGAGGAGCAGGAGAGTCCATGTTTTGGGTCGGGACCCTTCAACAGGACTGATGAAGGGTCCTGACCGGGCACGTGGACTCCATTCGCTTTGTACGTAAGTTGGAACACCATGCAGGAAAATGTAAAGTAGCTGTTCATAAGTTCAGGAAATGTTTGATTATCAGATCTTTAAAATTACATCCCTGTATGGGATCGTGTTCATAAATATAACGTTAGTAAGCCAGATGTTCAGTGACTGCCTGCAATTGAATGAAATGAGCATGTTGATCGGAGCACTATGTGTTAAATGAACATGTTAAGATACATTTCTCCTCACTACTGTTCAGTTTCTGCTGCGGTAATGACAGGATAAATGATTGTCCTATACTTGTGGCATCAACTATTTTGGATGGTGACATAACCAGCTTTTTGTTTTCTTTTAGGTTTTGGTTTTTTAAATTTGCCATAGTGGTTGCTATCACAGTGGGTGCTTTCTTCATTCCAGAAGGACCCTTTACAACAGGTTTGTATAAGACAGGCAACAAAAATGTCACTAGTTCATGACTTGAGATTTTTTAAAAGCATCCTTAGACTGAGAATTTTGATTTTGTTTTTACTTTGTTATATCCATAGGAAATAAATCTTGATAGCATAACAATATTACACTAATGCAGCACTATTATAATAAATATCTTTGGGTCTACTAATTTTCACATGAACTATTGTCGAATGTGCATGCAATTTCACAAATTGCAAAGAATCATAGAAAAGGATGTAAGGTCAGTAAAGGCAGTGAATGTGATCTTTCTTTTTTTTATTAATTTACTGAACTGACTTCAACTAAAAGTAGAATCAGATTTGCTGTACCTGACCTGGAATACCTTGATGTTGACACTGAACATAAAGGCATTGATGAAAAGTTTTCCTTTTAATTAACTATCTCCGGAAAGTTTAGCACAATTTGTTAAAAGGCAAATCTTGCTTAAACAATTTGTTTGAGTACCTTGTTAAAGTAACAATTAGGATTGATGAGGATAGTGAGGTTGATGTGGCCAATCTGGATTACCAAATAGTATTGGGCAATGTGCCACATAATAGGCTTGCTAGCAAATTTGAATAAAGGGGACAGCAGCAACATGGATATGAAGTTATCGGAGTGACAGAAGTAAGGGTAATGGTGAACAATTGTATCTTTTCCTCTTCTGTGAAAAATAATGGGGATCCCCAGGGGTTGGTACCAGGACTACTGTTGTTCTTAGTCAATATTAAAGACTTGTCTGCATAGGACACATTTTCAAAATTTGCAGATGGCACTAAATTTTGAAGTAATGTCCACCATGAAGAGGACGGTGATGGATTTCATTGGCTATAGATAGGCTAGCAGAATGGGTGCACAAATGGTAGATGACGTTTAATGCAGAGATGTGTGATCTGATACATATAATTGGAAAAAATGAGGAAAGACATTTTAATTTAAAAGCAACAATTCTGATTAAACTGCAGGATCAGAATGAGCAGGCAGAGTATATGTGCACAATTGTTGAAAATGGCTGGGTAGGTTGAGAAAGTCATTAAAAAGGAATTAAAATTCAGGGCTTTATGCAAGAAAGACATATTGAACCTTTATTTAAAGAAAAAAGATTTACCCTCAACTGGACTGTTCTGGCTCAATTATGGGGCTTGCACATTTTAGTCAGGATGTGAAGGCAGTGGAGACAGTACAGAGATGATTTGCTAAAAATGATCGTGCGGTGAAGGTCTTCGTTATGTGGATAGATTGGACTGGTGGTGTTCTCAGAGGAGAAGATTTGGCAGACATTTTCAAAGTTCTGATGGCCCCAGGCCGAGGAGATGGGGAGAAGTTGTTCCCATTGGCGGAAGGCATGTCAATCAGAGGACACAGGCATAAAGTAATTGGCAAATGAGCCAAAGGTAGAAAGTAGAACATTTTAACACAGTAAGTGGTTATGATCTGGAATGCACTGCATAAGCAAAGATCCTCAGACAGCACCCTCCAAACCCACGACCACTTGCATTTGAAGGGCATGTGCAGCAGATACGTGGGAACACTACCACCGTCAAGTTCCCCTTCATGCCACTCACCACACTGACTTGGCAATATATTGCTGTTCCTTCACTGTTGCTGGGTCAAAAATCCTGGAATTTCGTTCTTAATGGCATTGTGGGTAAAACCCACAGCAGGTGAACTGCAGCAGTTCAAGAAAACAGTTCACCATCACCACCTCAAGGGCAACTAGGGACGGGCAATTGATACTGGCCAGCCAGCGACACCAACATCCCACAAACGAATTTAAAAAATGCTTGTGGTCAAGGTTGAAAGCCGCATTTGAACCAAAGTGGAATTGGATACGCACTTGAAGAGAGAGGTTGCAGTGTTACTGAAGAATTTCTTCACCCCGAAAGTGGTTAATCCGTGCAACCCATTGCTAAAGAGGGCTGTAGAGGCCAAGTGATTGATTGTATTTAAGACAGAGACATCAGCCATGATGGAATGGTAGGGCAGACTGAATGGGATGAATGGCCTAATTCTGCCACTATGTCTTATGGTTTTATGGTATTAGGGAAAGGGTGGAGGAATGGGACAAGCTAAATCACTCTTGCAGAGAACCAGTATAAACGCAACAACCAAATCGCTTCCTTCTGTTTAATTCTTAGTTTGTATTAACTATTAACTTTCAATGTTGTGATTACTTTTTTCTGTGCAACAACAAAATAAACCAACACACATTGTGAAAAGAGATAATAGGAACTGCTGATGCTGGAGAATCTGAGATAACAAGGTGTAGAGCTGGAAGAACGCAGCAGGCCAGGCAGCATCAGAGGAGCAGGAAAGTTGACACTTCGGGTCGGGACTCTTCTTCGGAAATCCATTTCTGAAGAAGGGTCCAGACCCAAAACGTCAGCTTTCCTGCT